TGAGTTAGATTGAATGTATTGATGGTGTTCTGGATTTAATCCTTTAGGTGCATGGAGGGGACTCTAACAGGTTAATTATCCTGGTTGGTGACCCTCACACGCAGTGAGCTTATGCTCTAACCAGGGGCGGAGTAGGCTAGAACTTTTGTGGGATGCTGGAGAGGAAGGAGTCCAAAGGCTTAAGGAGAAGAGGATGTTGGTGTGAATTTCTCAAGTATGACCTGCTCCCCACCGCAGAGAATACCCCCTCCATTAAGGCTTTGAGAAATTTGAGGAACGCATAGTAAGAGGGTGTCCCCAATAAACTCTAAGGTGGTCCTCTGTAAGGGGGCTGTGACAGAGGAGTCACTGCCTGAGATGGGCTCTTTATCTCGCTGGGCAGGACGGGATCCCAGAGGACAGGATCACATTTCTACCGAGCAGCAGAACTTAACCACCTGAGGCAAGGTGGGCACGCTTGCCGTCATGGACAGAGTTGGGATGAAGGGGCACAACGGATCATCCTGGAAGAAACTTTGATGATGGCTGGTTGATTACGGTCTCCCTAGGGATAAATTAGAAGGACAGCCTTCTATTTTTTTTTTAAGATTTTATTTACTTATTAGAGAGACAGTGAGCATGAGCAGAAGGAGAAGCAGGTTCCCCGCTGAGCAGGGAGCCCGATGCGGGGCTCCATCCCAGGACCCTGGGATCATGACCTGAGCCGAAGGCAGATGCTTAACCCACTGAGCCACCCGGGCACCCCTGAAGGACAGCCTTCTAAAGGTTCATTTTCTCCCTCTCTGTATTTTTATAAGAGGAAAACTTCTGGTCCGTAACCAGAAACCTAACTCAAGTCGCCACAGTGGAAAGGCATAGCCACTTAACCCAGTTTCCAGACCCAAGTCAGACTCCCAGTGATTGAGGCCGTGTTGCCTTGAGGGAACTTTCAACACTGCCTCCCGTAGGTACTATAGATATTTCTCCACGTCTTCCTCAAAGGGACTTGTGTCCGTTTACTAGAGCAGTTGTGTCCAGAGCAAAAGGAAGGACCCGAACCTTTTAGCGCATTCTAGATACTAGCTCTGAATTGATGTTAGTATCTGAGGAACCAAAATGCCTGTGGCCCACCAATCCATGGGTGGGCTTATGATAAGCAGGACATTTGGCTACTGTTCAAATTATACTGTGCCCAGTAGTCTGGAGACCCATGCTTGGTTATTCCCTCAGTTCTTGAATTCATAATTGGAGGAGATGTATTTGGCAATTGGCAGAAGCCACCCTTTGGTCCCTTGACCTGTGAAGTAATGGCTGTCATGGTAGAAAGGGCCAAGTAGAAGCCCGTGGAATTTCTTCCCTACCAGAATAATAAATAAAAAGGGATATAGCATCTCTAGGGGAGAGTTGGAGAAATTAGTGCCGGCACCAAAGACTTGAAAAAATGAAAGCACGGAGAAACTTCATACATCCCCATTTAACTTGCCTGGGGGGCCCATGCAGAAGGCAGGTTTATTTCAGAGAGTGACTTTGATTATTGTAAACTTCATGAAGGGGTGATTTTAGCTGCTATTCAAGGTGTGTCTTTATTGAAAATAATCAACATAGCCTCCAGCTCCTGTTAGGCAACCTCTCGTCTGGCAGGTACTTTCTTTCTGAACCACTTTGCAAGGATTACAGAAGCAGGTCGCTCTTACCTGGCGTGGCCGACAGTTTACATCCCTGTCTTACCTCTGTTCCATAGATCCCCTGCTCCCTCTCATCCTTTGTTCTGCAATACCCTGATCTTACTGATATCCCTCAGCACGGCGGGCTGGTCCAGTACCTTGCCCTGATAAACAGCAAGGGACAAGTACTTTAGATGCTTCAGTGAGACATCTTCAATCCGGGCGGTGGGAGATAAACCCCATTCTTGCTAACAAATACTGTATCAGTTAGTGTCCAGACAGAGAAGAGAAAAACACATTAACTACTTTAACAGAGAGAATTCGCTGTGAGGAATTGGTTAAGTGGGTCTGGGAGGATTGTGGATGTACGGAAGGGAGACTGAGAGATCAGCGGTGGTAAAAGCAGGAAGCGGCTACCACGCCTCAGGCTGGAGTGACAAAGGAGAGAGGATGGGGGTATCAACATGTAGGAGTTGGAGGAGAAGGAGAAGGGACCCAGACTTCTGAAGCGCACTGCCAGGTCGGGGCTGTCACGTCTGAATTTTGTCATCCACGGCTTGTTCTGGAAATGAACCAGCGGCTGCGGTGATGCAGACTGGGGTAGCAAGCAAAGCTGGAAAGAGCCATCTTCCTACTGTCTTGCTTCCCTCTTAAGTGGGGTGATAAAAATTGGAGAGATCCAGCTTGGGAGATGGGGTGTTTCTCTGATACACCTGAATGTGGGCTCACAGTTGATGAAGCGGGAGTTGGAATCACACAAACCGGTCACTTAGCTGTGTCACCTTGGCCATGCTACTCAACCTTTCAGAGCCTCAGCTTTTCATCTTTAAAATGTGGCTGGGGCGCCTGCGTGGCTCAGTCAGTTAAGTGTCCGACTCTTGATTTCGGCTCAGGTCATGATCTCCTGGTCCTGGGATCAAGCCCCACATCGGGCTCCAGGCTCAGTGCGGAGTCTGCTTGGAACTCTCTCTCCCTATTGTCTTCTGCCCCCCCCCCCCCGCTCACATGAGCTCTCTCTCTCTCAAATAAATAAATAAAAGTTCTTAAAAATGTGGCTCATCCCCACCGTGCAGGATTGTGATGAGGATTGAAGGAAATCGTATAACAGCACTAGCGTGTGCTGCCTGTCCAGTTCCCTAGGAGGCTGTGAGGACGAGGTGATGCTCAGAGCTTTTGCAGGAGCGGTGTGGAGGCAGTCCCCAGGTCAGGAGCAGCCACCAGGCTGGTTTGTCATCGGCAGTGTTTTTACTTTTCCATATTCCTATTTGAGAGGCAAGTGACGAATTGGAGTGTGGAGCATGGTTTTTGGTGTCAGATGGGGTCTAAATGTCAGTCTTACTTATTGGTCTTGCATATTTATTAATTACACGGCTCTGTGGACCTATTTTCCCAGGTCTAAACTCTCAGAGCTGTTGTGAGAAATTGCAGTGATGCCCATGAAGTGTCCTGCCCTATATCTGACATGCAGGAGAGACTCAGTGATGCTGCTATTTTTACCCATGTGGTCTTTGTATTATAGAATGATTGTTTTTGGAAGGAATGGGTAAAGCAGCAGTCTCATATGTGGGGGGCATATATCCAAAGGCAAGCATTGTAACTTATTTGAAGGCTTAAAAGAATAGACATCCAATAAGTCTTCATAAATGGTATTGTTAATGATTTAGTAATATGTCTGAAGCTTAATTTATTATCCAATACATATGGCGGCTATATTATAATTTCCTGCAAGTTAGATGTACAAGGTTGTTGATGACTTTTATAATGGAGAACACAGAGTGGGTTTCAGGGTATTGAATACTTTATAAGAGATAGTAGGTTAAAAATAGTTTACTGTTTTCTTACATTTGGGGGAGTTAAAATATATTTTAAAACCTTTAGTATATCATTAAGCAGAATTAGGCAAGGGGAGAAAGAATTAAAATAAACAGAGTTGGATATGAAAAGAACAGCTGTGCCAGAAAATGAGACATTGTATATGTCCAAAACTACCAGTTACATGCAGCTTCAGAAACAATGTCATGATGGCATTAGCCATTTGGGACTGAGGTAGACAGTTCTAATATACTCCAGCGAGTTAGCCACCATCATTTTCCTGTTATCTATACTAACGGGTTATAAATCCACTTTAATTAAAAGTAGTGAACAACACTTTGTGATACCACTTCAATAAGCATAACCCCATTTCTAATACATTATGGCTTTGACACCTTTGAATTAAAAAACGATCCAACTTTAGCAGGAGATGAAGGAAGTTGACAATTATCTGGTGAATTTAGGTGGTGTGCTCAGTTTGTATAAATTAGATCTCAAGGTGGATTTTGCACTCTATCAGAGTATTAGCTGTGGGCATGGCCAGTGTTCAATGGATGATTTCCAAATCTACACCTCCCTTCTTTATAGGCTGGAGACTTCCTGGCAGATGCAATGAAGTAAAATCTCCCGTACATATACATTGGAAACATTCACAGCTTTTAAATGGGTGAAACCATGACTAGACAATCCCTAAAATTAGAAGATTCAGTGAAGCTGTTTAGATGTTTTTTTTTTTTCTTTCTTTCTTTCTTCTTGGCTGAAGCCCTTTAGAATTACATGTTGGGTTCAGCCAGATACATTTGAATCTTGGAGTTTTTTTCTTTAAGAAAATAACTTATGTATGCTAACTAGTGCTTGAAGGAAAGTTTCCTGATCCTTTTAGAAATATGCCAAGGAATATCAGTGGAATATGAATTCCTCTCATGCAAGGAAAGAGGCTGTGCATTTTAAAATAGTGATTCCCTCTAAAAATTTCCTTTTAAACATTTCCTCCTCTGTGCAGATCATGTATAAAGTGGCTTTTTTTTTTTTAGATAGGAGGAAGTCAAATGGATATGAACTCTTCTGCACTAAAGAAATCTTTCAGACCTCGAGTGGTGCCACTGAGTGGCATGAGGATCACAGAATCATAGTCTCCTAGGACCCGAGGGGACCTTGGGAATCATCTGGTTGACCACCTTATTTTACAGATGAGATGCAGGCAAGCAGTTTGCCCACAGCCTCTCTGTGCTGATGGCACGCCCATGACAAGAACCCAGGCTTCCTGATGCCAAGTTAATGTGCCTTTTGCAATCTCGGTTGCCCTCCATATGTCCTTTTGTTTAGCATTTGGACTTTTTGGCATTTGCTGAATTTGTACATTTTGTTAAGTAGAAAATGACTAATTTTTAAATGCATGAATGATTGAGATAGAAACACTAGTGTGTTACAAAATATTTGATGGTAGAACTTGAATGAACAAAAGCCCTCTTTTACTCATAATAAAAAATGAAGTGTCTGACTATGTGACCAAATGGCTTATAGCAAATATTTTTGACCTTTTAGAACAGAAGAATCTATAATGGAAGATGACAAGAGGAGGTATGTTTGACATTGAAGCTGGCTTTAATTTGAATAATTTTGGCCATCTTCCATGGATTAATTTAATGAATGGATGTAATTTCACATTGTATGTAGTACATTACCAATAACATAGATTACACCCGGACAACTTCTGGCACAGAGAATACAGGTAGGCGCGTGTGATCTGAAAAAGGACTTGCTCAGGGTTCATAATCTTTGCCTTCAAGCAAGCTTGGGTTTTGTCCTGTGCTCATGGCCTGTGCTGGTTTCTATCCTGTGGCCTTTGGATGTGCTGTTCTCCCTAATGGATGACTTTGTTCATTCTGCCCGCCCACTCCACCCTCCGTCTCCTTCTCTGGTGGACTGCACCCTACTCTCATTACTCATTGGCTCTCTCTCCCCTCCTTTTATGTTTGTATCTACCTCCAGGGAAATGTTCTGTGTGTCCATAGCACTTATTACCACTATGATTTCTTGATGAATATTGACCGACTAACTGTAACATATTGCTCTATGGATATTTATTATTGTACTAAATTATAAAAAAATCCCAATTTGTTTTCCTCTTTCTCATTCCAAGTTAAATATCTAAAAATTCTACTCACTCAACTTAGCTTTCTTTTTTCATATAGAACTTCTTTAACATAGAAAAAATTATATTTCCAAGGGCAGGAATGTTCCAAATTCTACTTTTGAAAAGTCATGAGTTACTTTAATAGTTCTATAATTGTTGGCAGTACTCCATGCTTCTATCACTTTCTGCACATATAGAGTATCATTGATATCGGTCTGATTTTTCTCTCTCTGCTTCTTTTCATTAAGAAACTATGGAGGGGTATATGTAGGTCTACCATCTGAAGCTGTCAATATGGTATCCAATCAAACAAAGACTGTACAAAAAAGTAAGTAAAATCGTGAGATTTACTTTCTCTAAATATTTATCTTTTTGTTTTTTGAAAAAAAATATAAAATTTATATTTCAGCTTGCCTGACTCAACCTACATATTGCTCAGTTGCAGTTAACCATGTAGAAAAACCATTATCTGTTCACTGTAATCATTTGTTGAATTTGCCACCTACTTGATGAGAGTAGTTCCAGAGCAAAATTTAGCTTCTATTTGTGGCTATGTTCCATGGATGAAAAAAATTTTTCTCCATGGATAATTTAAATTTATTGTTAATTTCAGTGATGATTGGTATGACAATGAAAGCAAATGTTTCAGTAAGTTTATGGAGTTTTTGTAGAAATAAAGGTAAATTCTTATAACATATTCCTGTAATATACTGATAACAGTCTGAGGATTAGAGGAAAATCAACTGCGTATTGTATAATTAAATGAAGTGAGGCCCCTTTTTTGTTTCAATAAGTAGTAATTGTGGGGCTAATGTCGTTTTGATAATAGACATGGACAACGACAGCCTCAGAGCTAGCTTCTTGCTTAAATGTATGGCTCGTGGTAAGAATGCTGGTTTACCAACCACTGTGCAGTTGTCTGATGCACAGTTTTAAAGGACTGTTAATATGTTTCATTTACACACAGGCTCTACTACCTTATTTGTAACATACCGTAGCTGTTTGTTCCTCATTGCTGTTTCTCTGCATTCTGATCTGGACTAGCAAATACATATAAGTCACTACTACTTGTCATTTTATAGGAAACTAGAATATGTTCTTTATAATCTGAATATTTAACTTTTCTTAATTTTCTCTTTAAGATTAGAAGAAAATATCATGACTCCATAATCAAGAGGTACTGTATTTTTTCTAAATAATTGCATGTATTTAGCCTCGATGATGAATGAACTATAGATATTGTTGCTAGCTGTTTCTAAGAAATCTTGGACTTCAAGATTAAGAGGGGTCTCATCTTGTGGTTAAATCTATGAAATGGAGCATGTTATATTGTAAAGGGGTCAACTTTCTTTGCAGTTAATTTTATTTTTCATTTCATTTTGTTTCCAATGCAACCTAATTCATTTAATAAGAACAAGCTAAGTGTTTGCCTAAAATATGAAGGTTTCACTCTTCATTGCCAAAAACTGAGGTGCTAAGACTTTGGAAATGACAGATAGGGAGAGACCAGAGAGGCTGGGACTGGGAATTAAATTAGGATCAATATTAAGTGTTGGCAATAGCCAGGGGTGAGTTAATATACAGAGAGGAGATGTATCTGTACCAAATAATGCCAGTAGAGATGGGCAGTCATCCTTGTACAGAAATGTAGTTATGCAGGAAGGAATAGTAAAGCCATAGACCAAAGTCGGTTGGGTATTATAAAACATGTTCAATGTGCACAGAAGAAACCATTGTCTGAAAGATGACGCACCGTGGACCTGGTGTCCTAGTGAAGAGCTTGGAGGTAGAATTATCCTAAGACAAGAACAAAAACAGGAAAAAACAAGCTTTCCTTTATTAACCCTCTGTGTGCCAGTTTCTAAAAGATCCCGTGCAGCATTTCCATAGAGGCAGAAAGTCTCAGTTCATCTGGTCCAAGGATGCACATGATGCTTGGATCCCCACTGCATCTCGGTCTTGCTGACTGACATCTGGCCTCTTTTGAACATCCTGTGATCAGGAATGCCCTATCTCCTGAGATAGCCCGTTCTCTTCTGGGAGTCAGACAACCTTGGATTTGAATTCAGGCTCTTTCACTTACCAGTGGGGCAAGTTACTTCCCCCTTGTAGCCTCCATTTTATAATCTGTAAAATGGCATCAATGCTTAACTTGAAGGGTGTTGTTAGGATTCAGTATGAAATAAAGGGCAGTTCCAATGATTGCTGTTTTCATCATCATACTATTCTGTTTTGTATTGAGAATCCAGCCTTTGGCAGACCCAAAGCAAAACTGACTTGATACCCACTTCTTGCTCAAGGCCAGTTACTGGATTTGGGTGTTTGGGATGGGGAGGGGGTCACAGAATAAGCTTACAGGTGGAGACAAATAAGTTTTCCCGCTGGGGGAGAGGGACACAGAGACTGTAAGCAGTGTCTTCCTGACAAGAGATACCACAATCTTCGGTAGCCATTTTTTGAAGACTGTCTCCTCAAGGTGAAAGCCTTGTGGAGCTTTATTCCCTAGGGCCCATGACCACATTATAGAGTGTTGAGTTTCTCTTTGGGAATTTGCTGGAGATTTTCTATTTCTAGTATTTTTAAGAGTTCTAACCCTCTAGGTTCCCTGCCAGTTTTCCACTGTGCAGAAGTACTTTTGTTATTTGCATCAAATAGGAAAGGTAATCTAGTTGAAAACAAGCATACGTTACCCTCCTGAAAATAGGTTGCATTTCAAAAACATGAGAATAGAGTGGAAAGAGGTGCCACGTAGATAGGTATCAGGAGGTGTGGTAACTCCGTCACTAACACAGGACCTCAGAGGAATCCCTAAGCTTCTCTCAGGCTTTCTCAAATTCGGTTTTCTCATGGGACAGTTGGACAAGATGGTTGTTCCACTTTGTGTGTGGATCTCAAATTCCCTGATAACAATTTAGCAATCCTGCTGGTAAATCAGCCTGCAACTTGAGACTGCCAGCTAAAATATCTCTTTATTGCTCATGAGTATAAACCTATTTTATTGCTATCCCTGTCCCTTTGAATTGCCTGAAAAGTGTTCTAAGTTGAAACGCTGTTTGTTCTTTTTCCAGAGTTGCTAAGTATCCACTGTGGTACTTGACATGTCTGAGCTCATGGCTCTCTGGGCTTAAGTTATTGGACAGAGAGGCGCCTGGGTGGCTCAGTCAGTTAAGCGACTGCCTTTGGCTCAGGTCATGATCCCAGGGTCCTGGGATCGAGTCCCACATCTGGCTCCCTGCTCAGCGGGGAGCCTGCTTCTCCCTCTCCCTCTGCTGTTCCCCCTGCTTGTGCTCTCTCTGTCTCAAATAAATAGATAAATAAAATCTCTTAAAAAAGTTATTGGGCAGAAACCCCGAGGAGAAGACTGTCCTTTGCAGAGGAAGCTATTTTATGGAAAGGATTGGAGACGCTTTTTTTGACCTAACATGCCAAATCTCTTGAAATAATGCCACTGAACTTGCTCAATGACTGGAGTTCAAAGTTATTTTGGTGACTTTTTGAAACAAATTGAGGAATGATTTCAGAATCTCTTACAATACTTATATCATGGTACAAACGTGTAATTTCTTCTACAGATGACTCTCGGGTGAGCGTTATGCCCACCTAGATGTGTGGAGCATCCCTGGGCAGGGAGGAGCTGAAGTGGTGCTCTCAGATGCCCGTGGAGGGACTGGCTGGAGCAGGTTCCCCTGGGAGAGCTGGAGAGAGGGTGGATGGCTACCCCTCTCCCAGCAGGGGCTGACCCAGTAGGGGAGGGATGACATCACGGCTGAGCAGTCTATCTTTAATTTGGGTGATGTTGACGTGCAGCTTGGTCTGGGCATTATCATATCTTATTTTATTTTATTTTTTCACTTTTTTAAAGATTTTTTAAAAAATTTATTTATCTGTCAGAGAGAGGGAGAGAGTACAAGCAGGGGAAGTGGCAGGCAGAGGGAGAAGCAGGCTCCCCGCTGAGCAAGGAGTCTGATGCGGGACTCGCTCCCAGGAACCTGGGATCATGACTTGAGCCGAAGGCAGATGCTTAAACGACTGAGCCACCCAGGTGTCCCTATCACGTCATATTTTAATTTTAAGTTTATCAGTCTCTTTCCCCACAGCTCTTCATCTGTTTATATAAAGAGTCATCAGTTCTTAGCTCTGTGTCGGCCACTTATTCAGTCTTAAGTATTGAGTGAACCTTGAATGTGTGTTTTACTGAAAAGAAAATTGGTAAATAATTCGTAGGCTGAAAGCTGATTTTTTTTTTCTAAGTTGTCCTTTGTTAAGCTTGCTAACTCTTTTCCCTCTTGCTGTTGTTGTCTTCACAGCTTGCTCATTAAGATTTGGAAGGAATTGCACTCCATGGGCCGTCATGACGTGCACAGAAATTTCTAAGGAAATTCTAACTAGTCGCCCGCTCCGCCTCCCCACCCCACCCAAATTCTCAAGTCTGTAGTTGAAACCATGGGTACATATTGAATGTTGTGGTACTAGAAAGGAATCAGGTAGACAATACACGGGTATATGGAACTTTCTGGGGTCCTGCTGAGAAAGACAAGTGGACAAACCGCTAGTGTCTGGAGCCAGCCTGCTGTATCTGGCAGCATTTTCTCCCTGGCCATTCAACACAGCTCATTAAAATCATGTCTTTTCACTGATACTTTTTTGATAGTTTTTATATAATGAAATCTGTATTCTATTTATAACTTCAGCTAAGAAAGCACTATAAATGAACTCCCTAAAGTAATATATTTGTGGGTTACTTTTCACTATTTCTATGTTACATTAATTTTTAGCTGTAAAATTGTTAAATTGATTCTTACTGTTCTCTGTTTCCCTTTTTTACTTTTTGGTTTTCAGCTTTCTGTAAGTGTCAGAGAATGTCTTCTGTTAGGAACAATGTATGACCTTTCAATGTTGAAAAATAAGCCCCCCAAATTTGCATGCCCTACGCACATTTTGATTAACTTTCCATTTTCTTTGGTCGAAGGCTGATGTCACCACAAATCCTTTGCAGTCATTGATTCTCTCATTCTCCTTTGTGGGATCCCAGCATCCCATCATGTTAATCCTATACTATTTTCAAAGACTTGTGACTGATGGTTAAGGGTATTTGGAAAGCTCTTAATTTGAGGATGACCATGTGTAGCCATTTAGTACTGCAATGTAGATTACTCAATTTACCAATATATTTCAACAATTAAAACATTTTTATCCCTCTTTACCTGGATTTCTTGGTTTTTAAAAGGTCACTTTCAAAGGAGTCACACATGGCATTGTGGTGTATAGTGACTCTATCAGTATATATAGCTAATGAATAAATAGGTTACCATGAAAAACCAAAATTTTTCATAAGAAGGAAAAGATTATCTTACAAATCTGGTCCATATGACAGCCAGCGGCATATCAAATTGGTAAAATATCAAAGGTGATTTTCTGAGCAGGTGGTGAGAGCTGAGCCTTGGATCTTGCTTGGAGAGGTTGCTGGCTGTACCTGGGGTGTGACAAGGCATGGGACCAGCTCCAAGGAGGAAGTAAAGCAAACCTAGGAGATCTGCTTGGTCCTACTAGCTGTTGTCAATATTTTATTAAGACAGTTTATCAGGAAGAGGTTCAAGATAGCAACAGAAAAGGATCCTAGTCTCATCTCCTCCCACAGACACAAAATCTACAGCTGCATACGAAATAGTTCCCTCTGAAAAGGACCTGCAGGCTCGCTGAACAGCAGCTCCACAACAGAGGCATGGTCTTGCAAGAAACCCCAGCCTCGGCACAGAGACCAGCAACTGGGAGGGATCTCATTAATACAGAGCTTGTCCCTGAGGAATGAGAGGTTTTTGCTCCACATCAGACACCCCAGCCCTTGGGAAGTGCATCAGAGGGATGAGCCCCCAAAGCACCTGGCTTTGAAAACCACAGGGCTTATGGCCAGGGGAACCATAGGGCTTTAGGGAATGGAAAATCCACTCTTAAAGAGCTCACGTATAGACCTACTTATCCCAGGACCCAGCACAAAAGTAAGTTTGAAAGATACCCAGACCATATGCTTAGGAGACTCATTTGTTAATCTTAGAGCATCTGCCAAAGAGACAGGAACCTGTTGGGACTCTCGGAGACAGAGGTGCTGGCCAGACATGATTTTTGCATTCTCCTTCTGCCTTGTTGGGACTAGCGCTGGGGGGTGGTCACTATTTTTGT